CGCCTCATACTCGTGAGAAAGCTGAACGATGAATAAGACTGACAGAGGAGGAGCCGGGGCATTTGAATTATGGTGCTGGCAAAGACTATGGAAAATACCACGGACTGCCAGAAGGAGGGACAGATCTGTCTGCTAGCAAGAAGCTAGAAGCGAGGCCGGCAAACCTCGTCTCACATATTTTGGCCACATCATCAGGAGAGACCAGTTTCTGAGGAAGGACCTCCCGCTTGGTAGAGGGAAGGGTCAGCGGAAAAGAGAGACCCCCCTCTGAGAGGTGGGAGGGGATGGCACGGAGGCGGCACGAATGGACTCAAACAGAGGAGTGATGGTGCCAGGTGCCAACGGCTCGCCATCCCGATTGGGGCGTGCTCTGATCTGGTGCAGGTGAGCCCGATGGCCCCTCATAACCACAACAAGGGTCTGGCGTAAACGGTTGGAAGCTTCCCCTTAGGGAGAGATCATGGGTGGTCTCATCAGCCCCGGCACAGAAACAAATGCCTTTGTGGTTGGGAAAATCTGAGTGCCCAATGACTAGCTAATGATCTCATCCGCTATCAAAGGACAAGTCTGGTTGGAAGAATTCGTGCCAAGGTGCAAATGACTGTGACGCTTAGAGCCCGCTCAAAGGCTGCTCTCCTCAAAAAAGAGATGTGAATTTTTCACCGAGAGGACCAGCAGCTTCTCTTAGCTACCAGCGACTATGGTGGGTTTCAGATCCTTTCACCAGCTTCCCACCACTCCCACTGAAAGGGAAGGGCAGGGTATCCACTTAAGTGGCCCCTCCCTTCTCATTCTCTCTCCCACCCTCCCAATTTGCCTAAACCTATTAGGGAGTGGATTCTGACTCATAGCAACCCTACAGGACAGAAGAGAGCTATCCCATTGGCTCTCTGAGACTGAATGTTTGCTGAAGCACACAGCCTCATGTTTCTACCTTGTAGGGGTAGTGGTGGATTCGAACCACTGACCTTGTGCTTAGTAGCCCAACATCTTACCAGCTGCGCCACCAGGAGCTCCTTGCCCCCATTTGCTTACGTGCTACCATTTTAACTTTCCAAGCTCACTTTTTAAAAGCTGCCTTAAGTGTGACCATGAGGTGTTGACAGGATCGGGTAACAGGCATCAGAAGACCCCAAACAACAACAGCAACAAAACAACATATTGTTGAGAATGAGGGGGTCGGAGCAGAGACCTCAAACCCATTTGTAGACAATAGGACATCCCCTCACAGAAGGGTCATAAGGAAGGGATGAGTCAACCAGGGTGCAGTATAGCTCTGATGATACACACAATATTCCTCTGGTTCTTTGAGGCTTCCTCACCCCCCACTACCAGGACCCCTGTCCTGCCTTTCAGTATTGGCTAGACCGGAGCATGTACACTGGTATAGGTAAGAGCTCACAACACACGGAATTCAGGTCAGATAAACCCCCCAGGAAAAGAAATGGGAGTAGTACTATCAGGATAGTTGGGGGAAGGTGGGGAGTAGCGGGAGGAAGGGGGAACTGATCACAACGATCAATACATAACCCCACCCACTCCCTAGGGGGATGAACAACAGAAACATGTGTGGAAGGAGACAGCAGTCTGGGTGTAAGATATGAAAATAGTAATAATAATGTATCAGGTATCAATGTCACGAGGGTGGGAGGGGAGGAGGGAGGGGGAAAAGAGGAGCTGATACCAAGGGCTCAAATAGGAAGTAAATGTTTAGAAAATGAGGATGGCAACATATGTACAAATATGCTTGATATAATTGATGCATGGATTGTCATAAGAGCTATAAGAGCCCAATAAAATGATCTTTTAAAAAAAAAGGATTGTTGAAGGGTAATCTAATTGGCTGGGTTAACCTTCCTACCTAAATCCCAATAAAATATTTTTGGGGAAAAAAACTGCCTGAAAATACACACATACACACAGACTGGAAAAGAATTTGTCCACCCCAAGCAAGGTCAGCTCAAATTCTCAGTGCTGAGCCAGGGCCACCAGCGGTGGTGCAGTCCCTGGGCCTCTTCCTAATTAGGAAATGCAGACATGAATTTTGCCTGCCAAGGGCCCATGAATAACTTTGCTTGCACTTTGAGAGAGAGAGCGAATGAAGGAAAGAAGGGAAAGAACTTTCACCCCAGGGTGCTGGGCTTGAGTTCTAATTGCCCTCAACGTACCACCAGCACCAAGCCCGCTGCCAGTGCGTGGGCTCTGGCTCAGACCCACCTTCTCAGAGAGTGGGATTGCTCCTGGGGTCCCCGACACTCAATCTTGACAGGAGTAGGCAGCTTCATCTTCCTCCACAGAATGGCTGCTGGGTTTGAACTAGCAGCCAGCACTTAATCCATTGTGCCACCATGGCTCGAGCCCAAATCCCACAGCCCCCCAAATCCAGAAATCAAAAATCTGGATGCCAAGACACTGGCATTAATGCTGCCCTTTCCTGAGGGGCCGCCTCAGAGGCAGTCTGTGAAAGGAGTCAGGGAGGCCTTACCCCCACTTCCTGCAGGGAAAACCGGGCATTTAAATAATTATTTTAAAGAAGGGTGTAGCCGTTACATCATCTCCTGTCAACTTGTGAAGGGGCGGAGTCTTGCCTGTCAATCAGGTTGCAGCTGATGACCTCAATTTGGAGGCGTTATGGAGATAAATTGCTCACTGGAGGCCAGACCCCACACAGACACTCTCTGCTTCGTCTTCCTGCTGACTAGACACATGGAGCTATGCGAGAGCCCTGGAGCTGGAGGAGCCACGTGGAGACCCACACCTGCGCTGAGATGCTTCCACCTCCACTGGATCCACAAGACCTTTTACCCACTGGCCTGTGATCTTCCTGCATTCGGCATCATTGCATGTGTTGTGTGAGTCTAAAGAAGAATTTATAGACTGGTATCGGACCTATGGGCTAATGTTGGACTTAAGGACTTGATCTAGACTGGGCTAGGCTGTTTTCTCAATACACAATTGCTCTTTATATAAAGCTCTTTCTTATACACATAGGAGTGTCTCTGGATTGGTTTCTCTAGTCAACCTGGACTAACACAAAGGGAATGGACTAAATTCTAGAGTCTTTGATAATTGTTCCCTGTGGATTCTCCCGCCACCTCCAACGCTGAAGGAGGGCTCAGTGTTCTTCCCAAAGAGGAATTTCGGCCCAGGGTGCGAGAGCCACTCCTCCTGGGTCACAGAGGGAGGCGGTGGCAAGGTCAGAAAGGAAAGCCCCACCACCGATTCCAACACCAAGTTCATCTGGTGACACAGCCCAGTCCTCCTAGGGACTGAGGAAAGTAAGTGGGGAGACGTCACTATTTATTGAAGGGCTAGGCAACTCTGTGCTAGGCAGTGGACTCAACTATTTCTTTTATAATTTCAATTACTAATTTTATTAGGGGCTCTTACAGCTCTTATCACAATCCATTACATCAATTGCATCAAGCACATTTGTACATATGTTGCCATCTTCATTTCCAAAACGTGTTCTTTCTACTTGAGCCCTTAGTATCAGCTCCATTTTTTACCCCTCCCTCCCCCCCCACCACCTTCCACTCCCAACTATTTTTTATTTAATCCTCCCAATAACTCCCAATGAAAGAGTTAGGAATTACCCTCCTCACCCAACTGGGGAAGCTGAAGCTCAGAGTTGTTGGGTTGTTGAACGAAATTGTTCCCAGCCACATGAATAGGAAATGAAGGAGGAGAGGGATTTGAATCAGGGCCCACTTGATTCAACCGAACCAAACCAAACCCATTGCCTGGGTTGTAAATTTTTATGGGAGCAGAGAGTCTCACGGTTCCTCCCACAGAGGGACTGGTGAATTTGAACTGTAGACCTTGTGGTTAGCAGCCCAATGCTTAGGCCACAATGGCAAAAGGGCTCCACTCCTTGACACCAGTCCTTTTATTTTGAAAAGTGAGGAGACATAACCCGTGAGAAAGACCAAGTGAAGCCCATCACCCTTCACCAACAAATTCTTCCGTGACTTGACACAGCACAGTTCAGAAGGCGCGGGGCATCAAAGGGGGTGCTGCAAACAGCAGCCTTTGAAGGGAAGCACGAGGAGCCCTGCTATCAGACAGGGGGCGCTGTAAAGCCGATTGTGCCAGATGTA